ACTGAATTTCCTTTATACATAAGTTTGAATAAAACTAGGAGCTTAAATACAGGGGAATATATGTCCCTTCATCTAATATTTCATGCTTTATTGTTATAATGTCATGAATACACAGTCAGAGTATACCTGCTCTTATTCAACATTGTTCATTTTGTCCCAACTAGGGCAGAGTTGATGGAAACAATAAGAATGGAACAAATCAACAACTGTAATGCGTCTGAAAAAGTCAAAGCACATTTTACTAAGTTTTCCAACTGAACACACAAGAATAGTTGACTGTTGTCACAGTTTTCACACATATTTGTTCTATCAAACTTACATACCAGGTTTTACAATATAAGTGGGTTTTTGTTCATTCGTGTTGATTAAAAGTATCCACAGTGCCACATGGAAAGTCCAGGTGATTTTCTTGTTTTGCTGGACAATGACTGACTAAGAGTTTTATAACTACATTTTCATTTGTTGTTCTCACAGTCTCTGTGACTCAACCTTTGGAAACATTGAAGAAGTAAATAAAGGGATTAAATTCCCTAAAATAGTCCTAGAGTTCAATGGCAGACAGGCGGATCTGGAAAAGGTACAGATGTGTCACCATGCTCCAGTGAATCTTGTGCTGCTCAGTGATGGAATTTCCTTAAAGGTTTAAGGAAATAGCCCCTCAATGGAGGCAGGCCTCAGTGACCTATATGAGGACAGAGATTTAGTTTTAAAATTGAAGGCGCTTTTAGATTGTATCTTTTTAGGTAATGGAATTTACCTACATGGAAACATATTCTTAAAGTTGTTTTTCATAAATTACTATAGTTGGCTTGACTTTGGTCACTGGATGTGGTTGCAGTAAGTGTAGTGTGTGGTGCTTGTGTAGTCCAACAGGTTAAAGAATTATAATTTATCATCAGCTTTTATTTTACTTCATTATAAATCTTTTTGTTTTTATTATAGTAAACCAGGGGTGTCCACACTTTCGGCTTGTGAGCTACTTTTCTAATGACCAGGGTAAAGTGATCTAGCCACATTGAAAACTATAAATATATATTTACTACTTTAGATTAAACAGCTGTAGTTGTATGGCACAATACCGTCTGACTCAATACTTCTAGGATCCTTACTTTAGCCTTAGTGATTAGCATCTTAAAATAGAATTAAATCTATCATTTTTAAAAAAGTTTTGTTTCTTTTAATGTAATTGCTCAGGATCTACCAGCACTCCCTTTGAGATCTACTGGTAGATCCCAATCTACTTATTGGGCACACCTGTAGTTTTTCAGCCTTTTGATAATTGTATTGTATTTGCTGGTAAAATAATACAATGTTCTTTCATTGTTGAGGGTCCAGGGTAGGCCCCTGGTCTAATATCTTTAAAAACATTTGTGTCACATTGTAAACTCTCGCAAAGAGCTATCAGCTACCAAAGTTCAGAGAAGCATGCATTTACTAGGGATATAACAATGCATCGTGAATAGGTTAAAAATCAATGTACATGTGTGTCAATTTTGCTTTGGTTGAAATAAAAAATGAATCGCGCATCAAGGCCTGAGGAGTAGGCTCCATTGTCATAACCATGAGACTAAATACTCTGGTGACTGTATACGCCTAAAAATGTTGCTTGTCCCACTGTTAAACCAAGACATTGTTACGTATCCTAAGTGACATTCAGGTGTTTAAACAGAACGTGGGAAGAACTTTTTTTACAGACACAAACAGTGTTTATGTAAAGAAAGGAGCTCTTTCCAGTTAATATTTTTGTAAATTCTTCTGTTGTTTAATATATTGACAGTTAGGGAGGTAAAAAGGACCAGACCAGTTTTACTTTTGATAGGAGATTACTAGCATGGCGCTTTGGCCCAGGGGCAATGTCTCTGTCATTGGTGTGGAACCCCTGGGTTCACCTCCTGGGCAAGATCATCTCCTGCTGCCCCCGCGACCCGGTAACAGATAAGCAGATGAAAATAGATGGATGGATGGAGATTACTGGTGATGTGCAGTGTTTCTGTAAATAAATATGCAGTTTTTGTTTTTCTGTTACTTTAGATTACATTACATTACATTTCAGTTTGAGCTACAAAAAACCATTTCAGTTATTTAGTGAATCATATAGTGCGTTGAGTGTATCGTTACATATTTACATTACTGCTATGTTTGCAGTTACTGCTGCTGTTTTCTAACTGTTGCTCTTTTGTTACTGCTGCTGTTTTGTTTCTACCATACCTGTCTGACTAATGCAGATTGTGTGCTTTGATAAATTGTAGCTGTAATCAATGTTTGTACCTGCTTGTCAGTAATTCAGTAATGCTTTTGTGCCAGTTGCCCTCCACTGATGTACCAACATCAGTCTAAGCTGTGGAAAGAAAGAAACAACACAGTAAAAATGTAGCAGCTGTCAGAGGAATGTCAGTTTGATCTTGCAGACATGGTGCATGTGCACACCTGTGTTTGTATGTTGGTTGCTTGCTTGTCTACTAAATGAGGGAATGGAAAATATGGGAAGATGCAAAATAAAGAAACAATGTGATGGAAAAAATGCAGTGCTGAGTATGCACGCTATCTCCCACACTTGACACACACACACACACACACACAAACTGCAGTCTCATCAAGGTGAGGTTAAAGTCTGGAGATAATTAGCACCTCACACACGCACACTTACTCACAGCAATGTTTAACATCAACACACAACCTAGAGGAGAGCTTTAGTTTCATTGCCTCTTCAGCATTACACTCTACTTTATTTTACACCCTTTTTTTCCATTTAACACACACAGATACACACACACACACACAGTGACAGTGCTTTTAGCCGTGTCACTGTGCATTAACTCCTGCACCTAGTGGGCCTCTAATCATGCACATTTTGTGGTAAATGATATTCCAGCAACACCACCTGCCAGATGTCGTCTGTTTTCAGCTTGGATTTTCCAAAGCTTTAAATTAGACACAGCAGCTCCAAGGTCACTGCTCTGCAGGCTAACTACCACCTTACATCCAGAGGTTCCTGTTTTTGAGATGTCATGTTAAGGTGTTGATGATCTTTTCAAGAAAAGACAGACAGACATATAGTAGATCACAGAAACAACAAGCATTCATAACATTACGTATGTGTAAGTGATAAGTGACAAGTCCACCAGTCAGTATCAAGGTAGCTTTTTTAATTATTCAAATTAGAGCTTTGTATTTTACACTTTGTACTGTAACAACACTGTCTGAATACCCAGTGTTTCTGTTTATCCATCCCAATCCTATAAATACCCACATCCACCCCAGAGTTGGATGTACTTGCACTTTTCTCTGTCCTCATATGATCGTAAATAGTAGGGATTAAGGGTTGTACTACTTTTTTTTTTTTTAACAAACTTAAGCCTTGTCACCATGACTGCTTTATCACAGCTTTGGTCACGTTTCTTTTCATTTTGTAATTGTTGTGTATAAGAACACAGTCTGTCAATGTAAGCTGGGTGAAGGTTTGTTGTTGTTTTGTGACATGATTTACACTGGGGTAACCACGCAAGTTGGCCAAATGGGAAAAACTGTCTCTGTTCTGGGATTTTTTTCTAAAATAATCACAGACCTCTCCATTTACGATGGAATAATCTGCACCTTTCCTTTCACTTTGATAGGAGAAAAATGTTCTTATTCTCTTCCCAACCCTGTTTTTTCCCCATTTACTTGGAGTCTGTCACAATCAGCCACATCCTCACTTTGGACATCCCTTAACTAGAGTTAAGAAATAATCAGGTTTACCAATGCTGTGAATTCAGCAATTGAAAACAATTTAAATAAATTATTGTGAAGGACTAGTGTCACTCAGCAAGCTCATATTCTAAAGTCTTTCCTCAGTTTAAATCTGGATAGATGAGGTGTTATTGCCACTCAGTTTAATTGATACTTTGTGTACTGGAAAGCAGGAGTGTTTAGTTAAAAAAATAATTGAAATGTGCCAGTGGTGTAAAAGCTTTGATAACTTTCTGTCCGGTTGGATGCATTAATTATGCGGAACGTCTAATTTGGATAATCTTTATCTTTAATGTTTCTTAACTTTAGTTTAATTAATATGTTATCTAATGTGATGACAGTGTCAGTTTCAAGACTTTTTCGTCTAATATAGAACATTTTTTCTGTTTGAATTGAAATAGCCTGTGGCTTTTTTGTACAACATAAGTAAATGGAAAATATGAGCAAATAATTTCTAAAACAAATGTTATAGTTTATATAAACAAAAGACATGCTAAAATTAAACTGAGGAAGATTGAACCATTTTTTACATATACTTATACACTATCTTTGCCAGTTCTTATTTATATATTTATATTAGGTTTTTGTTTTGACCATCACATATTTAAATATTTATTAATGACATGCTTTTATGGTGCATAATGTTTCGCTCTGCAGCTTAAAAGCCTGATAAGATTCCATTCAAAGTGTTTGAGGATGATTCATCACAAACCCTAAAACACTGTGTGCAGACAACTAGCATGTTCCACCTAATATGCAAATACTACACAAACACACTCATAACCATATTTTTTCTGCACTGCACACTCTCTGCTATTAATACTTCATAAAAGCCTGTTATCAAAGTGCATACTTTCCACAGGCTGCTGCTCCTGCCTCTTGTTTTTCATCCCCTTATCCCTTCATCCTACATTCTTCCTACTAGTCATACCGCTGTCTATTTTCTCTGTCCCTTTGTCTTCTTGACCTCCCTTTATCCCTGTCTCTCTGGCTTGTTGTCTCATTGGTTCATTAAAATAACTTGGACATGAGTGCACTCATTTGTGTTTGCATGAATAGAGGTGAAAGACTCATTGTCACATTTTTTTCCACTCAAAACATTTTTTTTCCTACAGTTTCCACCTTGTCCTGTGTTTTGTCAGGTGATTGTGTCATTATTTTCCAGTCACTCATGTTTCGGCCTTTTTAATGACTGATTAGTCAGCATTAGTTAGTATCTGTCAGACGGCAAGGACGGAAAAAAAAAAAAAAAAAAAAACCTTCACCGACCCTCCTCTTTCCACAGGCGATTGGCTTACAGGAACAGAAGAGATGAATGGCGAACGAAGGGGAGGGGGTAGGGATTGTGGGTAATGCGTCATCGACTGGCAGGGGCTCATTTAAGCGGCCAGAGAGAGAAAGGGAGAGAGTGAGCTCATGAGAGATTGAGTGACATTTTAAAGTCCTCCGCACCCGAATTTCTGGAACATTCCTTCAGTTCGCTGTCTATTGCAGAGACGACTGAACGCTTTAGATAGAGAGGTATATTTTTTGTTTTTCCTGCAGTTGGCTCAGCAAGGAGGTAGATAACCTTGAAATGTAGGTTACAAGGCCATTTGTGGTCTGAGGATAGTTGTTGATGTAAGTGGACTTTTACTGTAAAGACAAACTGCCGGCTGCATCACGGATTGAAGAGCGGGTCTGGAGCCAGTTGACCGGTAAAAACCGACCGATTTCCTGCTGCAGAGCATCTGCTAACTTTCTGATTGTCCGTCACCCTGGGGAAGGCAACCCCCCCCCCTCCCTCCTCCTCATCACCATCATCATCATCGTCTTCGTCACCACAGCCCCCATTATCATTGTCGCCGCTGAAGTGTAGCTCGGCATCACATTGCACCTCCGGCTTCAAGTGGAAAAGGTTGCGACTCGCAGGTTCGCCGATCATGCACATCAAGACCACCAAGTGCAATCGCTTCTGTCTGGTGGCCTCCGTCACCAACCCGGAAGTGTTCAGTCGCCCTGAGGCGCAGGTAAGAATGAAGTACTTGCTGCGTCTCTACCAACAAGGTTGTCTTAAAAAGGTCATTTCTTTCCTGTTGTCAGTCACCGTTAATATTCACACCAGTAACTTACTCTTAAGTTATGCAAATATGCTTCTGTTGATGTCACTTCGGGTCATTCTGACCACGGTTTGCGGCTTTGCGTCAGTTCCATGACAACATTATTGCATAGTCGTGACTTTGTCGGTCACTATGTGATCAGCATGAAAGGTGGCCACTTGTCTGGTTTCTAGAAAGATGAAAAACGGACGTCTAGATGTGTGCCTTCACAGTCTTCCTAATCTTCATAATCGTTTCAGTTCCGTATCATGTATTTCAGTTGATTCGCATTTTTAGGACCATCTCCCGGGATTATAGGATTATTTTATGACATGATGTAATGCAAATATTTTCTGTCTCTGATGTGCACAGTTGTTCACATTCTCCTGCAGTATTAGGGATTCAGTGTGTATGTGTGACTGCTTGGTCAGATATCCCTTTTTTTTAGCCCGGAAACAGTGCTTTAAGTTTTAGTGCTTTTCCACACAAAGACTTTTACCATAAAAAGGTCAAACGGAATGTTCTGTCCTTCTTTCACTTGCCTGTGACTCACCCTCCCGAGAACATACAGAAATGGCTAGGGAAAAGCTATTTCTGTCCCACTTTGGTGACTGCATCACTTTTTTTCATTTTATATCGGTGTCAGCCTGACATGAGAGATACAGAGTAATACGTTGTTACAGTTATGGTTCTTAATATATAAATGTGTATGATGGAAAATGACTCATCCTACAAATGACTTACTCTAGATAGAATCATCTGCAGGATGTGCTTTGACAGGGGATTTTACTACAACAATTTAAGGGTCCATTCATTCATGAGACTATATATTTCTTTCTTTGTCTGGAAAAACATTGTTTTTAAAGCTGCAGCACAAAGGCTAGTATGTGATAAAATGATTTTTTTTTTTGTGATTGTTATTCAGAGCCTCACATATGAAGACAGCTGCTTCTGATTTCGTATTTTAAATGAAGGCTGCTGTTGATTAATGTTGCAGGAGGTAATATCTCAAATTTCATGTTATATTTTTGTTTTCTTCTCTTTTTCTTCATTTCCCAGGCTGGTTTTGAAGCCTTGTTCCGTAGCTTTGACCCAGAGGTTCAGTTCCAGTACTTCAGGTCTTTCCGGCGGGTAAGAATCAGCTTCAGTGATGCCCTAGCCGCAGCCGAGGCGAGACTGCGCCTCAATAAAACTGACTTCAACGGCAAAGAGATGAGGCTGTACTTCGCCCAGGTATTATCATTGAGCTGCTTAATTACAATTTTGTGGCTGTCATTTTACAGTCATCATTTATGGGGTTCTTTTTGTTCCACAGTCTGTCCACATAGGCAGTCCTCGGCTGGAGCCTCCCAAACCAGACAAGCAGTTCCTGATCTCTCCCCCTGCCTCACCTCCAGTTGGGTGGGAACAGTCAAAAGACGCCATGCCAGTTATCAATTACGACCTGCTCTGTGCTATCTCAAAACTAGGACCAGGTATTACATACGACACAATCTGACCTATAGGCTGTTTAATCTCACAACAACACAAAATATTTTTACAGCTGTCAATCCATGGTGTCTATGTTCATAAGCATGTCAGAAATTGCCTAAATCCATGATGTGACTCATATCTGATTTTTTTTTTTTTTCAAATCTAATTCTGTCCTGTGCAGAGGGTGGGGATTGGCAAATAAAATGAAAATAAGCGGCAGAACAAGCTTGCAGACACTGTTGACTGAGCTCGTCAGTGCAGAGAACAAGAATGTCAAAGATTCACTCGCTCCCAGGACTAACTAGTAAATGAGGCATGTGGACCTATGTCTTCTTCTGCACATGCAGTTCATATCAGAGCTGTTGATAGCTCACAGTCTGACTGTGGTTGTATTTAACCTGGAACAGTGAATATCAACAGCCGGCCCACCGAACCATCCAATCCAGCATGCGACTGGATTCCAAATTAAACATTAAATATTAATGTTACACAAAAATTTGATTTTTATTTTGTTTTAGTGTCTGGCCACTAAGACCAATCACTTTTTTCTGAACCATGGGATACGATTTATTCTTGTTCAAGTATAAGTTTCTCAGTGAAAGATGCCATCTACAGTTAATGTGGTCTCAGAAGAATTGTCTGTGTAGAGGCAGAGGTTGTCAGTGTGTGTGCAAAAAAGTCTCAAAGTTTGTCACTACTACGTATGTGCTAATTCCAGGAGACAAGTATGAGCTTCACACCGCCACACCCACTACCCCCAGCGTGGTGGTCCATGTCTGCGAGGATGAGGGTGAAGTAGGCGACAGCTCCCCACTAGAGGACAGTGACCAGGATGATAAGCCCCGCCCCATGCGTCCAAAGATCATCCAGACGCGACGGCCAGACTACAGGTCCGATGTGAAGCAGTGAAGCCACAGCAGTGGATGTCGAACATCCTCTCTGAGCTTGGAGGGGTTTTGTGGACTCCAGTATCTGAGAGTCATGCCAGGGGACTAGCATTTCATTAGATGGAAGGGAAAACATCATGTTGAATGCTGCATTCGTGTCCCATGGAAAAGACAGGAGATGAGAACTTCCTGGTGGAAAATCAGTTCAACCCTCAGTTTCCCACTGCATGTAAATATGAGGTGTCAAATTTATTTTTATTAATTTGTCAAAGTTAAAGTTGTTTGTAGTACAGGAGACTGAGTGAGGTTTGGTTTGTGGTGACTTAAAAATAAATATTTAACGCAGATAGGAATGGTTGATTTTTTTTTATTTCTTTATTAAAGTCCTTAAATGTGACTTTTTATGTTACTCCTGCATGTATCCACCACTATTGCACTGAAATAAAATAGACTCGGTGCAATGTTAATACCTTTAAACATCGTTTCCAGAGAAGTACACTAAGAATGCAGTGAAAACCTGTTATATTCTAATGCATTGAATGTATCCAAAGAAATGACAAAAACTGTTCACCAAGCACCTGGATTTTATGTGGTGAACTAATTGGGAAATTGATACTTGCAAAAATCCAACCACACACAAAAAAAAAGGGACACAAGCCAGTTTTACAGCCTTTGCTTTGTCCCATATTTTTAAGGAATTGAAACCATGGGGTGGGGGGTTGTGTTTGTGTTAAATTTTATTTAATAAAATTAAGTTATCCTGGAGAATTTGGCTTCACTGCATTTTTAGGAAGTTTACTAATCATGAGTGACAAATGTTTCCACTCTACCTTTAAAACGGTTGTTTGTTGTATAAACCAGTGGCAGTCATCACTGTGTCTACAAACTGTGATGTGTTCGTCTCACTTTACATCTCGTCTCCTTTTTTTAAGCAAGTGTTTGTGTAACGACTAACAGTGTTTGATAATAAAGAATTCATTCAGTTTTGGTACTCTGTGTACATAATTTTGGGAAGCAATTCTATCAGAAAGCTACACCGTCTTAGAACGTTCAAGGGGAAATGTCGCCATCTGCTGAAACAACTTTCCCCTACACCTTGTAAAGTGGTTGAAGGGGCCCATTTTGTGTGATGCGAGAAGTGTGGGCTGACGCATACTTGTGTACCAAAGTAGTATTGCAGGTGATAGAGCAGACTGACACCATCAATCTAACATGCTGGGGTAAGTTGATGTCTGTCAAAAGATTTTTTTTAAATCAGTGTTTATTTACTAATCAGAAACAACAGGATTTTTAAAACCATTAACGTATTTTTGCCTTCCAGATCGTCATCTACTACGGCCAATTGCATGACAGCATATAATGCTCTTCACTGAACTTCTGTGCAAGACCTCAACTTCTTCAGATTTTCTTCCACCTGCTCTCACCCTGAACTGAACCCATCTATTTGACTGGCTGCACACTTTGTCACAGTGGGGAGCCGTTTTATATAGTAAGTGCAAACCAAATACTTAAATACTATATCACTATATTATATATTTTTTAATTTCTATTGTTATACAATCACTGATTCCCGATAACTGACAATGATGCATTTTAAAATAATTTATTTGAACATTTTAGGCACAGGGTTTATTTACATCATATTGACAGTTATTTGAAATAAAAAACATGTGTACAGCACAATTGCAGCAAACAAATTTAAAATGAAAAAATGTCTTGTTAATGTTTTGAGGCTGTAACATCCTCATCACCCTTATCATGGTCATTCTGATGCAATTACATATATTACCACAAGGGGGCACATGCTTCCCCTTATGTACAAATAAAAGTAAACCCACAGTATTGAGCCGTAGTTTCAGTAGAGCAGTGGAAGACGAGTAGAAATACAGGAAGACATGAACTTAAAAAACAGACTTCGATGGTTTGAAAAACCAGCTACAAAATTCAGTCAATTCGACAATTAAGCCCCACCTATGGGCGTTAAGCATTCACCTTTTGTCATTCATTATTGATTTAATACCAATCCATTTTTTAACAAACTGCAAAAAAGAAAAATGAAATGTACGACCTCAATGTACGACCTCAGCTTAGTGCACTAAAAGAGTAACGTCAGTGCAGCAGAACATGTTTGCATGGTGATACTGTGAAATCCTTTCAACTACAAGCTGGTTCCTGCCTCCTGGCAGACAGGGCTCAGGTGTTGCTCTTTCCTTCCTGTGTAAATTACACACCAGGTTTGATAGCTGTCACAAGAGGATGTTGTTCTCTTCCTCTCCTTTTTCTTTCTCTCTTTTTCACAGTGCTGACAACAGCTGTGCGAGCTGCAGCTGCCTGAGTCTGTGGGCCCTGGGGAAGGAGAACCAGGATGGTGTCGCTACAGTAATGTTGCTTTTCAGACAATTATTATTTCAACTGATTTCACATTAAAATAGTCCCATGTTCATGTTTTCTTCTAATACATCCACTGTGTTACTTACACCAGAGTCTTGTACCTCTGCAGGGTCACAGGGCCATTCTGGAGCCAATCCCATCTGTCACAGAGCCACATATTTAAATAACCATTCAAGGTCACATTCATAGCTATGGTCAATTTAGAGCAGGGGTCACCAACCTTTTTGAAACTAAGAGCTACTTCAAGGGCAGTTAGTATTACGAAGAGCTACTAGTTTTAAAAAAGACTTCCCGAACAATGTAATAATAATTAGTTCTGGGACATACAATAGTAAACACTCTTCTTACCATCATCATTGGGCCCACCTGAATATCACTGCTAGTGTAAAGAACAGTAACAGTACAGTTTTTGATCCTCTTCTTGACCAGTTTTATTTTTAGAACATGACCCTGGCACCATGTTAGTAACCCCTGATTTAGAGTATTTGATCCACCTAATCTCCTAAAGAGCAGGGTTTTGATCTGTAGGAGGAACATAAACAAAACCCACACATGGGGAAAACCTGCAAACTCCATACTGAAGAATTGACTGGGTATCGAACTTGCAAATCAGTGATTCTGGCTTGAACAAAAATGCAGACGTTAATGTAAAGTCTTGTGTCAGAACCTAATATTGTGGGGGGTATAGCTCTACTAAAGCTCTCCGCTATGATAGCCTGACAGCAACATGGTTAAAAAGATGATCTAAGTCTACCATAAATTTTAATGCTTTTTTTTATTATTATTATTTTGTGTTTGTAAAATGAAATGTTTTTTATGTGGACTTACCATCCGCAGGAAGGTTCACGAGGGGCTGGTATGGTGCAGTGTGATTTGGGTGGCGGCCTTGGAGACTGCTGTAATGAAAATGGATGGATGGATGGAAATGGTTCTTCGTTTAAAGCTCCCCCCTGCAGGTGAGGACAACGGTTTTCGCATGAGGTTCTATCTCTACATAGTGTCTTATAATAGAACCAGTCTTGTTGTTATTGTCAGGTAAAGGATTTTCTAACACATTCCTTGACAATCCTGGTTAAAAATATTTTGTAGCTGGTTTATTTGTATTTCTGCAGATGTTTATTTACACTTTTGAAGGTTTTAGAATGGGCACAAACCAGCCTTCTGTGGATGAGTCAGAAAGTGTGTATGTGTGTGTGCGTGTTGAGCTTCTGCTGCTCCCTCTGCGCCCCTAGTGCGGGGGAGGAGGGGGGTGTCTGCTCCCAGCTTCTGCTGCTCCCTCTGCGCCCCTACTGAAATACTCAAAGGCCGATTGATACTTTACTTTGATCACAGTAAAATACTATATCAATAAGTTCCTGAACAAATCTCCGAAAAAAAAGTTTCTCAAAAATGACTAAAAATGCACTCATTTGCCTCAAAATACTTAGCTATTTCCATTTTTGTGGTTAAAATTCAGAAAAAATAAACTTTATGCTACGCCAACTTTTGATCACAGTGAAACTCTATATCAATAAGTTCCTGAACAAATCTCCGAAAAAAAAAGTTTCTCAAAAAAGACTAAAAATGCACTCATTTGCCTTAAAATACTTAGCTATGTCCATTTTTGTGGTTAAAATAAAAAAAAAAACTTTTTTGGTACACCAACTTTTGATCACAGTGAAACTCTACACCAATAAGTTCCTAAACAAATCTCTGAAAAAAAAAGTTTTTTTTTTCTCTTAAAAATTACTAAAAATGCACTCATTTG